CCATAGCCATGTAAACCAAAATAAACAATTCGCTGAGAAAAAAAGTTCCTCGGATTATTTCAAACAAAATACTTGAACAGACTTTTGCAGAATAATTGAAACTTTAATAACGGTAACAACAACGATTCTGTGTAATCTGATTATATCTCTGGTGTAACTTCACTTATAATATATAGTTTCAAATCAAACCGCTCGCTCTTCCGGTTATCTAATTTGCATATCTAATTTGCATACTTATGTCATTGGGGTATGACATACATGTTTTTATGTCATAAGCTTATGTCATGGATAAATGCTTAAGTTAAATGATAAATAGCTATATAATATAATAATTGTGTGTAAACGCCGGAGTGGCACGGTTCAAAGCGTTCATACTACATTACACCACCGCAGTATGAAATACATTTCTGAAATAAACTCCAGCTACAAAGTACGTTCCGCCAAACAGCCAACGACACCAGTCGCGAGTGACTGCAATCCTGCTAAACAACCCCACTTGATGTCGGCGGTCTTTCGGAACAACAGTTCAAGTCAAGAGTTCAAGAAATACGTCAGTCAGTAGTTGTATTCAGCAGCAGATGAGTCGTCTCATACGATATGACCTTTCCTTTCGGATACTTCCTGGTGAGATTTACAGCAATAGTTGTTCAGGGTAGAACGTTGTGACTAAGCGCAGCTGTGCGACTGTTTGAGCTCACCGTATGTATACAGAATTCAATGATGATTTATAGAACCCTGTAAGAAGATCAGAAATAAATGTATGCAGGCCTCCGGCTGACGAACACGCTGTATGCAACCTACGCTATACACCAACGCAGGCAATGATATTGAAACGAAATAAGGTTTCTATCATATGGTGGAATACTATAGGCTTCGTCACTTGAAATAGAATCACGAAATATCGCGATGAACAATTAACGAAGCGTGTGGATTTTTTTCTTTCATACATACGTACGTTGAATAAGCGTATAAACCACTGAAATTTAGTGCAACGTTTAGATGTTTAAAATTATCAATCCATTGTAAATCATTTCCATCGTAATGGTGAAACTTATACTGCTAAATGTGTTATGAATATTGTGGTAACGTATGTTGTCAAGAATGTTGTGAGATACACTATCACAATGCATTTGTCTATAGTTAGGCTACTCACCATGGATACAGGTTATAAACCATCATGAGAACATATGGGACGCAAATCAATAATTGTCTGTAAGCATGAAATATCAATAACCAAACATGAATAAAACATAAATCTGTATTTCGGTACAATGGCTACAATGTCATCTAAAACACGTTATCAAGTCTGTTGTCTGGTATTTCTTCTTTCTGGATTCGTTTTATTTATTATTCGTTTGATTCGTTTCGTTATTGGATTATTTATTTCTGATCTTCTTACAGGGTTCTATAAATCATCATTGAATTCTGTATACATACGTACGTTGAATAAGCGTATAAACCACTTAAATTAAGTGCAAAGTTTAGATGTTTAAAATGATCAATCCATTGTAAATCATTTCCATCGTAATGGTGAAACTTATACTGCTAAATGTGTTATGAATATTGTGGTAACGTATGTTGTCAAGAATGTTGTGAGATACACTATCACAATGCATTTGTCTATAGTTAGGCTACTCACCATGGATACAGGTTATAAACCATCATGAGAACATATGGGACGCAAATCAATAATTGTCTGTAAGCATGAAATATCAATAACCAAACATGAATAAAACATAAATCTGTATTTCGGTACAATGGCTACAATGCCATCTAAACACGTTATCAAGTCTGTTGTCTGGTATTTCTTCTTTCTGGACTTGATCATGCCTGTTTCTTGGAGTTGAGGATCTCAATTTCAGCGTAGACTTGCTCATGCTTCAATATACACAGGAACTTGTAGAGATTCGGGTGGGGGTAACCTATGTGGGTATTCAGGGGGTGGTGCCATCATTCCACATGGTGGGTCGTTCTTGGGCCGGTGGTGTTGAAATGGTTAATGGATGCCTGGGGTAAAGAACCGTCCACCCACTGCTCAGGGGAAGATGGGAGTGATGGCAGAACCTGGGCTCTCTCCCTGTATAGAGCTAACTTGGCAGAATGGAACCGGCGGATTGTACTTGCGTGTTGTCTCTGTGCATACTTGGTTCCGCAAATGAGCCTAATAATGAAACCCAGTAACAAAACACATTAGATGTTCATAAATTTACTATTCTTTTATTTTAGAACAACTTTATTACCAATAATAATTAAACATAAATAAACGTAAAGTGAGTAAGGTGGTGTCGCCATATTTGAAAAAAACCCAGAGTTTCATAAGGTCATAATAAAACATCATCCTTACCAGAAACCTCTTCCTGATATTCTTGTAACTGGAATCAGTTCTCTAGCACGCTTCCCGAAGTTGTAAAAGAAGACCCAAATGCCTACTTTTGACTGGTCTGCTTGATGGTTGTGGAGTTTCTTAAACTTAACTGGAGTGTCATTCTTTGTGGTCAGAGTAGCTGGACACCCGGTGGTACATGTATGATGTGGACATTTCCAATATGTCGTGTCTTTGAGGCTGTTGTATACTGATAGTCAGCATGAACCAATGTTCTATCGCACTCAGTGTGAGGAAAACAGTGCACATGAATTCGAGCGTTTGCCTTAATGGTTATGACCTACACATGGTAACTTGATCTTAATATACCTAGCTATGATTCTTTGCTCACTTCAACAGATACAGTTGTTTAACGAAATATGCACTAACTACTCAACTTGCTTGGTAATCCAAACACTTCTAGGTGGTAGGTGTTCGCTCAAAATCCAACTGTCAAATGCTAACTTCAGCTTCAAAGCTCTTGAGCTAACGAGCGTTCACCTGTCAGGAACAGACTATAATCCCCAGCCCTAATCCCCTTAATCTTCCCGAATTTCAGTTTTGAGCCAACACGGAAAACCCCGCTGGATCGTGTACGCGCAGGAAGTCAATAAAAATCTGTTGCTTAGTGCGTGCGAATCAAGGGCAGATAAGTTTGTAGCCGCTCGTAGTCACCTGGCTGCCGATCCTTGTTACCACGTGATCAAAACTCGATGCTTTTTATCGCTGGCAAAATGGATATTTCTTGAAAAGCGCGCTTTGCAATGCTTGTCATAACTATAAACACACTCCGTCGCAGTGGTGACTCAGCATAACACCACTGCCACAGGCTAATTTGCATATCACGTGACAGGACTTTTCTCTTGTTTGTAAACAAACGCGCTTTTTCAGAAATCAGTATAGAACGGACTAATGTAAGTATTTGGGGGCTCTTTACATATTGTTTTGCATAACTATATAGATATGCTATAGCTACTACAACTGCGACAGTGAGTTGCATGACAATATATATTTATGCATCAAAGTGACCGTGTCGCTAGCTCTCCGTTGGGCTTCGATGACAGCACGTGGAGCCGTACAACCAATGTAAACATAGGATAACTACGCAAAAACAAGTAGATTTTTACGTATTTGCATACTTTCTCAATGCAAGTTAACCATTCTTTGACATTTGTTTATGAAAATGTGTAGACTTGTCAAACATGAAACGGATGAAAAGCATATGCAATATCTTGAATGGACTGTGAAAGATGTGACGAATCGTCACATGGCGCTGGCCTGTGGCAGAGGTACTATGCTAGCTGGCTGCCGGCCGCATGGAACTCTGGGTAGGAGAGTGAACTATAAATAGTTTTCCTTATCACCTGATTGGCTTATTTGGCTTCGTATAGCCACACGTGCATCTGTCGACATTAATTATTCACGGCGATATTTCGTATTCTGTTATAGTGCTATATGTAGTGCACTAGTGCGAATATATAGAAGATTCAAAACCATCAACCATAGTTATGTACATTTACATTCATACACTCACATCATGTATATTCACGCCTCATTTAACAGCATCATGTCACCGAGTCACTAATGATATAAATAGGCAGTTTATATTGCGCATATTTCCACACCACTCAGGGGCATGCTAAAATCGCTATTATTACCCCGGTCACTGGATCAGTGTACACTCAAAAATCATTCTGAACTCCTTGGGGAGTATACAACCCAAGCTACCTGTTAGGAGCTAGAGGGTTAACAACCACGGGCACCCATTAAGAGTTGGGTGAACAGAGGCACATTTTGAACAAACACCAACAATGACAATACACTTATACAAATGTGGGGCATTAAGCCTTGGTGTGCGACGAGACTGGCAACCACCATGACCATTACAAATAATAGGGCTTTACACATAACCAGCGTGCGAAGTCGAACGGTCTCAGGTACGTAGCTTCAACCACTAAGCTTCCCCACCAACCCTAATATGGTATGAGCAAAGAATGAAAAGGGTTTCAATACCCATGAGTGAATTACACTGTACACCACTGCTCTGTGTATTGCAGACTTTCTAGGGTCGGGTTAGTGAGTGAAATGTGTTTTAGGCCGCGTTAAACAGTATTTCCGAATCATGCGACAGCTTAGTGAGTGAGTTGGGTTTATCGCCGCTTTTAACATTATTCCAGTTATATCACGGCGTGTCAGCTTAATGTGGGAGGAAAGCCCGAAGCGATGCAGGTCTCAGACGTTTACCACTTCGGTGAAACCCACGAGCACGGGTATGGTGCTGACAAACCTAGAAACATAATTGAGGCGAACCGGGATTCCCACCCACAATCATAGGTTTCTGGCGTGCCCAAGGGACGCAACTCTGCACAGCGAATGCGGGGCCTTAGACGACTGGGCCATCCATGCCCCCTGTGACAGCTTTATGTTGGTTGAACCCTGAAATGAGGCAGGCCTTTACTGAACGCTTCACTGAACCAAATCATGAGTAGAGTGTGTTTTGAAATCTGCTTGTGTTGACTGTCTTTTATAGCATCAGCCACATCTGTATCAGCACCAGTACATACATATATTAACAAACACAGATGTGACTAAAATAAATAATTACTCCTTAACTCAATTTGCATTTTTTTATAACCAGGCCCATTTACAGTTGCTGTAGTCAACGATGAAGGTGACAGTTGTAGGGGCTGGCGTTGTTGGCCTCTCCACCGCCATCAATATCCTGGAGACTGTCCCTGGCGTTGACCTCACCGTCGTCGCCGAAAAGTTTGACGACGATACCACCAGCAGCGGGGCTGGAGGTCACTTCCGACCAAACATCAACCACATCGATGGCGTACCAAAGGCTAAACTCAAGTACGTGTTGACTGATGAGAATACTGACATTAATTACAATCGATATTTATCATTTAGCCTCTCATACATTAAAGCAATGGTGATTAATTATAGTATTCACATAGGATGATAATGTACATATTTGGTGAGAGTGATGATGATAATAAATAGGAATATTAAACATATTTGACAAAATGAAATAACAGTCCATATTCAACACAAATGTACAGGAATTAAACATGTGTCAACCATCGCTTTATCAGTCTGGCCATGTTTGTAGTTCTCAAGTGTGTTGTGGGTGTAGCAATACAGGTCACATCCGAGCTGTGTATTGGGTGTACTTGTATAGGTCACATCCGAGCTGTGTGTTGTGTGTATACATGTATAGGTCACCTCCGAGCTGTGTGTTGTGTGTGCACATGTATAGGTCACCTCCGAGCTGTGTGTTGTGTGTGTACATGTATAGGTCACCCCCGAGCTGTGTGTTGTGTGTGTACATGTATAGGTCACCCCCGAGCTGTGTGTTGTGGGTGTTCATGTATAGGTCACCTCCGAGCTGTGTGTTGTGTGTGTACATGTTTAGGTCATCTCCGAGCTATGTGTTGTGTGTGTACATGAAGAGGTCACCCCCGAGCTGTGTGTTGTGGGTGTTCATGTATAGGTCACCTCCGAGCTGTGTGCTGGGTGTACATGAATAGGTCACCTCCGAGCTGTGTGCTGGGTGTACATGTATAGGTCACCTCCGAGCTGTGTGTTGTGTGTGTACATGTATAGGTCACCCCCGAGCTGTGTGTTGTGTGTGTACATGTATAGGTCACCCCCGAGCTGTGTGTTGTGTGTGTACATGTATAGGTTACCTCCGAGCTGTGTGTTGTGGGTGTACATGTATAGGTCACCTCCGAGCTGTGTGTTGTGGGTGTACATGTAGAGGTCACCTCCGAGCTGTGTGTTGTGGGTGTACATGTATAGGTTACCTCCGAGCTGTGTGTTGTGTGTGTACATGTATAGGTCACCTCCGAGCTGTGTGTTGTGTGTGTACATGTATAGGTCACCTCCGAGCTATGTGTTGTGTGAGGACATGTATAGGTCACCTCCGAGCTATGTGTTGTGTGTGCACATGTATAGGTCACCCCCGAGCTGTGTGTTGTGGGTGTACATGTATAGGTCACCTCCGAGCTGTGTGTTGTGTGTGTACATGTATAGGTCACCTCCGAGCTATGTGTTGTGTGTGCACATGTATAGGTCACCCCCGAGCTGTGTGTTGTGTGTGTACATGTATAGGTTACCTCCGAGCTGTGTGTTGTGTGTGTACATGTAGAGGTCACCTCCGAGCTGTGTGTTGTGTGTACATGTAGAGGTCACCTCCGAGCTGTGTGTTGTGTGTGTACATGTATAGGTCACCTCCGAGCTATGTGTTGTGTGTGCACATGTATAGGTCACCTCCGAGCTGTGTGTTGTGGGTGTACATGTATAGGTCACCTCCGAGCTATGTGTTGTGTGTGCACATGTATAGGTCACCCCCGAGCTGTGTGTTGTGGGTGTACATGTATAGGTCACCTCCGAGCTATGTGTTGTGTGTGCACATGTATAGGTCACCCCCGAGCTGTGTGTTGTGGGTGTACATGTATAGGTCACCTCCGAGCTGTGTGTTGTGTGTGTACATGTATAGGTCACCTCCGAGCTATGTGTTGTGTGTGCACATGTATAGGTCACCCCCGAGCTGTGTGTTGTGGGTGTACATGTATAGGTTACCTCCGAGCTGTGTGTTGTGGGTGTACATGTAGAGGTCACCTCCGAGCTGTGTGTTGTGGGTGTACATGTAGAGGTCACCTCCGAGCTGTGTGTTGTGTGTGTACATGTATAGGTCACCTCCGAGCTATGTGTTGTGTGTGCACATGTATAGGTCACCTCCGAGCTGTGTGTTGTGGGTGTACATGTATAGGTCACCTCCGAGCTGTGTGTTGTGGGTGTACATGTATAGGTTACCTCCGAGCTGTGTGTTGTGTGTGTACATGTATAGGTTACCTCCCAGCTGTGTGTTGTGTGTGTACATGTATAGGTCATCTCCGAGCTGTGTGTTGTGTGTGCACACGTAGCGATCACCTCCGAGCTATGTGTTGTGTGTGTACATGTATAGGTCACCTCCGAGCTATGTGTTGTGCGTGCACATGTATAGGTCACATCCGAGCTGTGTGTTGTGTGTGTACATGTATAGGTCACCTCCGAGCTATGTGTTGTGTGTGCACATGTATAGGTCACCCCCGAGCTGTGTGTTGTGGGAGTACATGTATAGGTTACCTCCGAGCTGTGTGTTGTGGGTGTACATGTAGAGGTCACCTCCGAGCTGTGTGTTGTGGGTGTATATGTAGAGGTCACCTCCGAGCTGTGTGTTGTGTGTGTACATGTATAGGTTACCTCCGAGCTGTGTGTTGTGTGTGTACATGTATAGGTCACCTCCGAGCTATGTGTTGTGTGTGCACATGTATAGGTCACCTCCGAGCTGTGTGTTGTGGGTGTACATGTATAGGTCACCTCCGAGCTGTGTGTTGTGTGTGTACATGTTTAAGTTACCTCCCAGCTGTGTGTTGTGTGTGTACATGTATAGGTCATCTCCGAGCTGTGTGTTGTGTGTGCACACGTAGCGATCACCTCCGAGCTATGTGTTGTGTGTGTACATGTATAGGTCACCTCCGAGCTGTGTGTTGTGTGTGCACATGTATAGGTCACATCCGAGCTGTGTGTTGTGGGTGCACATGTATAGGTCACCTCCGAGCTGTGTGTTGTGGTTGTACATGTATAGGTCATCTCCGAGCTGTGTGTTGTGTGTGTACATGTATAGGTTACCTCCCAGCTGTGTGTTGTGTGTGTACATGTATAGGTCATCTCCGAGCTGTGTGTTGTGTGTGCACACGTAGCGATCACCTCCGAGCTATGTGTTGTGGGTGTACATGTATAGGTCACCTCCGAGCTATGTGTTGTGTGTGTACATGTATAGGTCACCTCCGAGCTGTGTGTTGTGTGTGTACATGTATAGGTCACCCCCGAGCTGTGTGTTGTGTGTGTACATGTATAGGTCACCCCCGAGCTGTGTGTTGTGGGTGTACATGTATAGGTTACCTCCGAGCTGTGTGTTGTGGGTGTACATGTAGAGGTCACCTCCGAGCTGTGTGTTGTGGGTGTACATGTATAGGTTACCTCCGAGCTGTGTGTTGTGTGTGTACATGTATAGGTCACCTCCGAGCTGTGTGTTGTGTGTGTACATGTATAGGTCACCTCCGAGCTATGTGTTGTGTGTGTACATGTATAGGTCATCTCCGAGCTGTGTGTTGTGTGTGCACACGTAGCGATCACCTCCGAGCTATGTGTTGTGGGTGTACATGTATAGGTCACCTCCGAGCTATGTGTTGTGTGTGTACATGTATAGGTCACCTCCGAGCTGTGTGTTGTGTGTGTACATGTATAGGTCACCCCCGAGCTGTGTGTTGTGGGTGTACATGTATAGGTCACCTCCGAGCTATGTGTTGTGTGTGCACATGTATAGGTCACATCCGAGCTGTGTGTTGTGTGTGTACATGTATAGGTCACCTCCGAGCTATGTGTTGTGTGTGCACATGTATAGGTCACCCCCGAGCTGTGTGTTGTGGGAGTACATGTATAGGTTACCTCCGAGCTGTGTGTTGTGGGTGTACATGTAGAGGTCACCTCCGAGCTGTGTGTTGTGGGTGTATATGTAGAGGTCACCTCCGAGCTGTGTGTTGTGTGTGTACATGTATAGGTTACCTCCGAGCTGTGTGTTGTGTGTGTACATGTATAGGTCACCTCCGAGCTATGTGTTGTGTGTGCACATGTATAGGTCACCTCCGAGCTGTGTGTTGTGGGTGTACATGTATAGGTCACCTCCGAGCTGTGTGTTGTGTGTGTACATGTTTAAGTTACCTCCCAGCTGTGTGTTGTGTGTGTACATGTATAGGTCATCTCCGAGCTGTGTGTTGTGTGTGCACACGTAGCGATCACCTCCGAGCTATGTGTTGTGTGTGTACATGTATAGGTCACCTCCGAGCTGTGTGTTGTGTGTGCACATGTATAGGTCACATCCGAGCTGTGTGTTGTGGGTGCACATGTATAGGTCACCTCCGAGCTGTGTGTTGTGGTTGTACATGTATAGGTCATCTCCGAGCTGTGTGTTGTGTGTGTACATGTATAGGTTACCTCCCAGCTGTGTGTTGTGTGTGTACATGTATAGGTCACCTCCGAGCTGTGTGTTGTGTGTGCACACGTAGAGGTCACCTCCGAGCTGTGTGTTGTGGGTGTACATGTTTAGGTCATCTCCGAGCTGTGTGTTGTGTGTGCACACGTAGAGGTCACATCCGAGCTATGTGTTGTGGTTGTACATGTAGACATCACCTCCGAGCTGTGTGTTGTGTGTGTACATGTATAAGTCACCTCCGAGCTGTGTGTTGTGTGTGCACACGTAGAGGTCACCTTCGAGCTGTGTGTTGTGTGTGTTCATGTATATGTCACCTCCGAGCTGTGTGTTGTGTGTGCACACGTAGAGGTCACATCCGAGCTATGTGTTGTGGTTGTACATGTAGACATCACCTCCGAGCTGTGTGTTGTGTGTGTACATGTATAAGTCACCTCCGAGCTGTGTGTTGTGTGTGCACACGTAGAGGTCACCTCCGAGCTGTGTGTTGTGGGTGTACACGTATAGGTCACCTCCGAGCTATGTGTTGTGGTTGTACATGTAGACATCACCTCCGAGCTGTGTGTTGTGTGTGTACATGTATAAGTCACCTCCGAGCTGTGTGTTGTGTGTGCACACGTAGAGGTCACCTTCGAGCTGTGCGTTGTGTGTGTTCATGTATAAGTCACCTCCGAGCTGTGTGTTGTGTGTGCACACGTAGAGGTCACCTCCGAGCTATGTGTTGTGTGTGTACATGTATAGGTCACCTCCGAGCTATGTGTTGTGTGTGCACATGTATAGGTCACATCCGAGCTGTGTGTTGTGGGTGCACATGTATAGGTCACCTCCGAGCTGTGTGTTGTGGTTGTACATGTATAGGTCATCTCCGAGCTGTGTGTTGTGTGTGTACATGTATAGGTTACCTCCCAGCTGTGTGTTGTGTGTGTACATGTATAGGTCATCTCCGAGCTGTGTGTTGTGTGTGCACACGTAGCGATCACCTCCGAGCTATGTGTTGTGGGTGTACATGTATAGGTCACCTCCGAGCTATGTGTTGTGTGTGTACATGTATAGGTCACCTCCGAGCTGTGTGTTGTGTGTGTACATGTATAGGTCACCCCCGAGCTGTGTGTTGTGTGTGTACATGTATAGGTCACCCCCGAGCTGTGTGTTGTGGGTGTACATGTATAGGTTACCTCCGAGCTGTGTGTTGTGGGTGTACATGTAGAGGTCACCTCCGAGCTGTGTGTTGTGGGTGTACATGTATAGGTTACCTCCGAGCTGTGTGTTGTGTGTGTACATGTATAGGTCACCTCCGAGCTGTGTGTTGTGTGTGTACATGTATAGGTCACCTCCGAGCTATGTGTTGTGTGTGTACATGTATAGGTCATCTCCGAGCTGTGTGTTGTGTGTGCACACGTAGCGATCACCTCCGAGCTATGTGTTGTGGGTGTACATGTATAGGTCACCTCCGAGCTATGTGTTGTGTGTGTACATGTATAGGTCACCTCCGAGCTGTGTGTTGTGTGTGTACATGTATAGGTCACCCCCGAGCTGTGTGTTGTGTGTGTACATGTATAGGTCACCCCCGAGCTGTGTGTTGTGGGTGTACATGTATAGGTTACCTCCGAGCTGTGTGTTGTGGGTGTACATGTAGAGGTCACCTCCGAGCTGTGTGTTGTGGGTGTACATGTATAGGTTACCTCCGAGCTGTGTGTTGTGTGTGTACATGTATAGGTCACCTCCGAGCTGTGTGTTGTGTGTGTACATGTATAGGTCACCTCCGAGCTATGTGTTGTGTGTGTACATGTATAGGTCACCTCCGAGCTATGTGTTGTGTGTGCACATGTATAGGTCACCCCCGAGCTGTGTGTTGTGTGTGTACATGTATAGGTCACCTCCGAGCTGTGTGTTGTGTGTGTACATGTATAGGTCATCTCCGAGCTGTGTGTTGTGTGTATTCATGTATAGGTCACCTCCGAGCTGTGTGTTGTGTGTGTACATGTATAGGTCACATCCGAGCTGTGTGTTGTGTGTGTACATGTAGAGATCACCTCTGAGCTGTGTGTTGTGTGTGCACACGTAGAGGTCACCTCCGAGCTGTGTGTTGTGTGTGTACATGTATAGGTAACCTCCGAGCTGTGTGTTGTGTGTGTACATGTATATGTCACCTCCGAGCTGTGTGTTGTGTGTGTATATGTAGAGATCACCTCCGAGCTGTGTGTTGTGTGTGCACACGTAGAGGTCACCTCCGAGCTGTGTATTGTGTGTTTACACGTGGAGATCACCTCCGAGCTGTGTGTTGTGTGTGCACACGTAGAGGTCACCTCCGAGCTGTGTGTTGTGGGTGGATTCACACGTAGAAGTCGACCCCGAGCTGTGTGTTGTTGCGTACATGTTGAGGTCACCTCCGAGCTGTGTGTTGTGTGTGCACACGTAGAGGTCACCTCCGAGCTGTGTGTTGTGGGTGTACATGTTTAGGTCATCTCCGAGCTGTGTGTTGTGTGTGCACACGTAGAGGTCACATCCGAGCTATGTGTTGTGGTTGTACATGTAGACATCACCTCCGAGCTGTGTGTTGTGTGTGTACATGTATAAGTCACCTCCGAGCTGTGTGTTGTGTGTGCACACGTAGAGGTCACCTTCGAGCTGTGTGTTGTGTGTGTTCATGTATAAGTCACCTCCGAGCTGTGTGTTGTGTGTGCACACGTAGAGGTCACATCCGAGCTATGTGTTGTGGTTGTACATGTAGACATCACCTCCGAGCTGTGTGTTGTGTGTGTACATGTATAAGTCACCTCCGAGCTGTGTGTTGTGTGTGCACACGTAGAGGTCACCTCCGAGCTGTGTGTTGTGGGTGTACACGTAGAGGTCACCTCCGAGCTGTGTGTTGTGGGTGCACACGTAGAGGTCACATCCGACATGTTGACATGTTCTGATGTTTTGTGTGTTTGTAGACATGGTCTGGTGTATTGTCGTTTGTTTACATGGTCTGGTGTATTGTGTGTTTGTTGATATGGTCTGGTGTATTGTGTGTTTTTATACATGGTCTGGTGTATTGTCGTTTGTTTACATGGTCTGGTGTATTGTTTGTTGACATGGTCTGGTGTATTGTTTGTAGACATGGTCTGGTGTATTGTGTGGTTGTAGACATGGTCTGATGTATTGTGTGTTTATTGACATGGTCTGGTGTATTGTGTGTTTGTTGACATAGTCTGGTGTATTGTTTGTAGACATGGTCTGATGTATTGTGTGGTTGTAGACATGGTCTGATGTATTGTGTGTTCATTGACATGGTCTGGTGTAGTGTGTTTGTAGTTATTGTCCAGTGTATTATGTGTTTGTTGACATGGTCTGTTGTATTGTTTGTAGACGCTGGGCAATGGACTCCAGAGACCATTTCTTCTCACTGGCGGCGTCAGGGGCGTCATCAGAGTCCGGTACCCGCTTCGTCTCCGGCTACCTTCTTCTGGACACACCCGAAGTGCGACTTTGAGATCAGAATGTAGCAAAAGTATAACAAAAGTGACGGGCAGTAGAAAGTATACACCCACGTTTGTAGGTGGCTAAATCATGAGACAAACAAGACATAGTTATTCGATGGCGATGCATCGATACAGTTATCACAGTTGTGATTTGGACCTAACGGTGTAGTGGTTCGGCGACTGTTTTGATAACCTTTCTAGGTTTCATGAGAATCCAATTTCCAAGAGGGTTTCTTTCTTTTGCCCAGCAGGTTAGGTATACGTAATTTAAAGGCGTGATCACGTTTGTGATTTCTGAAGTTTTAATTCCTTGTAACCGGGGTCCTTTTTCTTGGTCTTCGCAATCAGGAGACACCACAGCAGGAATAAAACAACTTGGTTCAAAGTTGAGATGAGTTTTATTAAAACGGTTTTAATATAGTAAAACAGATACCACACAAACGTGCTGGCAGCAATCTGAGTTACCTAGGAGCGCAAGTGTCCAGCAAACCGTTCTCCCCGAATGACGATTTTCCACCTCGTTTTATCCTTCAAACTTTTCTACATCATTCTAATGATAAATTAATATGATGTCACAGGGTTGACCAGCACGTGAGTCCGTTCTGGTTCTCATGCTTTAAAACTATTTATTATTATGAAGACTGAGTAGTTAAACAGCTTCTTAGTGACTTATCCGAGGTTTTGACCTCGTACTCTCAGGTTAATCCCTCCTTTTAAGTCCTTGATATATTTTCTAACTTGCAACTACGGGGGTCGGACCGGTTCCCTTCTTGTACATTTCGTATAGTTAATCTTATCTAATAATTTCTCTTAAATCACCTTGGCTGTTTCGTGACAACCTTAACTCTCTACTTGACACCGAGATTTCATATTCCTCCCCGTACTCTGCACCCTGTCATTCTTGATAGAAAACCAATTAATTAAATATTATTGGCCGCCACCTGCGCTCCTCGTGTTATACTGTTTTACAATGTGAGTACATTCAAAAACACATAATTGGTACATACTAATTACTTCACATCATTTCATATCATATTCAATTTAACACTTCCATAATCATATATAATTCATGTACAGTAATATACTTGCATTTATCTTAATTATTTATATATAATTATAACCGGGAGTGCAACCCTGGATGGTTACATCCTGGATGCATACATTCACGTCCAAGAATTGTCAAATACTGGTGTGGACTCTTACAAAACAACATCGTTATCAGATGTTAAAAAATGGAAATATAAATTGAACATGCCATGTTGAAATGTACTATTCCAAACAGGACATTTCTTGTTCAAAACTGTGGTAATATATATATTTTCATTGCGTAATTTAAACAATCCTGATGTTAGTTCACCATTCTTGTGAACATATCCTTCTTATAAATCACAGGAACCTGAAAAGTCTATATCAAAACGTATGCCACATGAGGATTTAATAAGCATATTGTGTTAATTTCGTTGTTTGTCACACAGATAAAAAGTGTGATAGTGGTCAAATTTAAGACGAATATCATATTGTGTTGCTATGTCCATATCAAATTGTGAGCGAAAACGGCTTATTCAAGAATATTTTTATAACTATCTCTCAACACAACTGATATCTCAAAGTGATACTAATACCTCTAAAAGTGTCATTATTTCTTAAGCGAGACATGCAAATATAAACCAAGAATATTTTATTATGGATAATAAGAAAAAATAGGGAACTTTTTATGGGCAAAGAAAGATATTTGTTTTACAACTGTGTTCTGGGTTATGCTGCCTTTATAACAAAAAATACTATTTATATTCACATGGCTATGATCTATGATGACACCTAACTTTATATTCACATCCATTTTTACATTCACGACCATGTATATATTTACGACCATGTTTATATTTACGACCATGTTTACATCTACGACCATGATTACATCCACGACCATGTTTACATTCACGACCATCTTTACATTCACGACCATGTTTACATTCACATCCATGTTTACATTAACGACCATGTTTACATACACATCCATGTTTACATTAACGACCATGTTTACATACACATCAATGTTTACATTCATGACCATGTTTACATCCACGACCATGTTTACATTCACGACCATGTTTACATTCACATCCATGTTTACATACACATCCATGTTTACATTCACGACCATGTATATATTCACGACCATGTATATATTCACGACCATGTTTATATTCAGGACCATGTTTACATTAACGACCATGTTTACATTCACATCCATGTTTACATTCACGACCATGTTTACATTCATGACCATGTTTACATTCACGACCATGTATATATTCACGACCATGTTTACATTCATGACCATGTTTACATTCAAGACCATGTATATATTCACGACCATGTTTACATTCATGCCCATGTTTACATTCACGACCATGTATATATTCACGACCATGTTTACATTCACGACCTTGTTTACATTCACGACCATGTTTACATTCACGACCATGTTTACATTCACATCCATGTTTACATACACGACCATGTATATATTCACGACCATGTATATAATCACGACCATGTTTATATTCAGGACCATGTTTACATTAACGACCATGTTTACATTCACATCCATGTTTACATTCACGACCATGTTTACATTCACGACCATGTTTACATTCACGACCATGTATATATTCACGACCATGTTTACATTCATGACCATGTTTACATTCACGACCATGTATATATTCACGACCATGTTTACATTCATGCCCATGTTTACATTCACGACCATGTATATATTCACGACCATGTTTACATTCACGACCATGTTTACATACACATCCATGTTTACATTCACGACCATGTTTACATTCACGACCATGTTTACATTCACGACCATGATTATATGCATATGTCCAGTTCCCCGTTGTCACACTCCGGTACCAGCTGCGTGTTTCAGGAGGGGGTTCTGGAGGATATCGTGCTGCACTTCCGACGACTCTCCCAGCAGGAAATGTCTAGCTTAAAGTTCAATCAACGGTAATATAGATTGATTGCACTAGAGATGTACAAAAACCCGTGTTTGAATACAAGAGCTTATCAACATGTCCATCTGTTTGGCATTCACTCAGACAATTGTGCATGTATCTGTATTAAAATTGAAACGCGACCAAGCCTGTGGAATGTGGAATAATATATCATATTGTTTTCCGCTTAGAATGATTAAAGCTATAGTGTTTCATGTTCACTGAAATTCAATCCAATTTTAAACATGTCCATGGCGGCCATATTGAAAATATATTTTTAGTTCTTTAAGCAGCCAATTTCTACATGTATCATTATACAATTTGATATAAAGCAAGTGTGTACAATGCGGAATAACATACAACACGTTTGTAGTATAAACTGTCGGGCAAAAGAAAGTATACACTCGAAAATTTGATTTTATCCTAAAAATTATAAACGTGATCCAAACGTTAGTAGGCTGAAAAAGTCGCCGGAACACGGCAAACTTAAGCTTCAAAACACAAGTATGATACGAGTATCAAATACATCATCGAATGACGGGTTCCTGGGTGTATACTTTCTTTTGACCGGCAGTTTATTTTAATTTCTTATCAACGACCTGTGAACTTCACCAATCCATTTTAGTGTTAATGCATTGTCTACATCTTCTTTGAAACTACAAGGCTTGTGGAGCTGAACCTTGTTATGATTGAACCTAACTATGGTGTTTCTAAGATGTGCTCACAGGATTCCAATCTGATTTAATACATGGCCCCGACGGCGGCCATGTTGAAATTATAATCTCTGCCAATTACTCATTCATTCATACATTTATCATTTTGAAATTGAATTTAAATTGAAATTGATATTGCGATACAGCAAGTACGTGGTATGCAGAAAAACATTTAATGTGTGTGTTATGATTAACACTCACTCAGACCCATTTTTCTAGTGTTTGTCGCATTTTTAATTTAACACCCCCCTGCAACTACAAGGAACTATGGTGTCGAGGGAATTATGTACCTATTTTTAGCATGTCCATCATTATGTCTTCATAATTCAAGCGAGTTTCAGATATTTGTGGATCAAATTTTAGATGATTTAACACGAGGAGTTGAAGTTTCACCTGGTTGACGTACGAGTACATCACAGTCGCGGTTGACCCAGTCGTTTCAGGAACCGCGATGCGTTAGGCGTTCTAGGATGCCACAGTCCTGGGTTCGAATTCCAGATACTACCTGATTATGACTCTTGGTTGTTCAGCGTGATCGTGGGTATTGCTTAAGTGATAATCGTCTTAGATAAGCACCAATTCACCCATATTAACATGACACGTCGTTATATAACTGAAATATTGTTAAAAGCAACTATATACCAATTCATTCATTCACTCACAGAATTATACGCCATATAACTATTATAGTTGCTTTAAACAAGCGGGAGAGTGAATGAGTTGGATTTAACTTGGCTTTTAACATTATTCCAGTTATATCACGGCGTGTCAGCTTAACTTGGGAGAAAAGCCCGAAGAGATACAGGTCTCAGACGTTTACCACTTTAGAGAAACCCACAAGCATTGGTAAGGCGCTGACAAACCTAGAAACATAATCGAAGTGACCTGGGTTCGCACCCACAATCATAGGTTTCTGGCGTGCCAAAGGGACGCGACTCTGCAGAGCGAATTGCGGCGCAGTAGACAACTATTCGAACCGTGCGCCAGGTGCTTGTAGTGAGTGAGTGAGTACAGTTTTACGCCGCTTTTAGCAATATTCCAGCAATATCACGGCGGGGGACACCAGATATGGGCTTCACACATTGTACCCATGTCGGGAATCGAACCCGGGTCTTCGGCGTGACGAGCGAACGCTTTAACCACTAGGCTACCCGACCGCCCCTCCAGGTGCTTGTAAAGACAACCTGGCAGTTTAAAGTAGACATCAATGATTATAATTACCATTGTAGTTATGCTATTTAGTCTTGAAAGAATAATGATGGTAATATTGTTGTTTCAGTTACGGCTATGTTTATACGACTGTCATCACAGAAATGAAAAGGTACCTCAAGTGGCTTGCCGCAAGGTAAACTATGAATACTTACTTCGTGTCTTTATTTCTCTAAAGAGGCCACCACAGTCGGTACAAGAGCAAGTAGCAAAGTAGAACATTATTATTCATTTGCATGACATAAGAGTGAGTGAGTGAGTTGGGTTTAACGCCGCTTTTAACAGTATTCCAGTTATATCGCGGCGTGTCAGCTTAATGTGGGAGGAAAGCCCGAAGTGATGCAGGTCTCAGACGTTTACAACTTCGATGAAACCCAAGAGCACCAGTTTGGGGCTGACAAACCAAGAAACATAATCGGGGCGAACCGGGATTCGAACCCACAATCAAATGTCTCTGGCGTGCCCAAGGGACGCAACTCTGCACAGCGAATTGCTCATGACATAAGAATGGCAACTATAATTTGTGAGTTTGTAACTTTTGAATATTTTGCTGATACATTTTGAAAAAAACATTTTCATTCTCTAAGAATTGAAAGTACAAAATAGGCGTTTATATGTTGATATGTTTGGCAATTTTAAATACTTTTGTGTTATATACAATAATTTATAATAATGGTATGCTTCGTAGCCGAATATATTATGAAACTCGTCCGCAACGGCGGGAGAGTCACGTAAAATACACAGTCTGTTTTCTCTGGCACTGCCAGTCCAGCGACCTGTCTCAACTGGGAGGTTATGGTTTGTTGTGACATATTATTAAACAAAATAAAGAGATGTGAGCCAGCATCCTTGGGGTGGAAGAGATCAAGACTTCAGTACCACTCACCTTTAGGTTTCACAAAAATATATCTTAAAACTACCCATAATGATGTGATAATTATCCCATATGTACTCTTAAAAAAAATAAAGAAACGCAAAACCAGATTTGTGTGACGTAGGAAAAAACATTAATACGAGGAACCGTACAAGGTATTGAGCCAAAATGTTGGTGATTGTAGTCATCTTAGTTACCGGTACATAGGAAAAGTCCAAGAAGAAGGTCAGCTATCATCAATAACGCGTATTTGTCCCCCGTTTAAATCGATAGCGGCCTGACATCTTCTGCCCATGGAAGAGACGAGTATGCGAATCACATCCTGGGGGATGGTAGCCCACTCTGCCTGCAACGCAAAAGCCAACTGTTGCAGCGTCTGGGGTCCGTCTATCCCGCCTAGCGATCTTGGGCGGGGGTGGTAACTCTCGGTCGTTCCGACCTTGGCCGATCACGTGTTGACCCATGCTGTTGAAACCGATCCGATAGCCTTAGTATGGTGCTGGGCGCTACATTGAAAACCCTGGCTACAGCTGATCGGGATTCCCCTGCCTGCAAGCGGCCTATGACGTTGTTTCTTTACATTTCTGTTAACCTTGGCATGTTGTTGAACTGTCACTGTTCGATTGACGCAGATGCCAGGCAATCAAAAACCCTGCACCTTAAATACCGTTCATAGTGCTATTAATGCACTAGGTGCGTTTTCCCGAATCGAACGTGTTCCCCGACTAATGGTTTGCATGTCCTTGTTGTGATCATTTTGATCCGGGAAATTTGTCACTGACACAACAACACATTAAACCTCTTTATTTTGCACCTCTTGGAGCGCTAATTTTGCTTTTATGGTAAAAAATATCCGTATTGCGTTTCTTTTTTTTTGAAGAGTATATGCACATGTACAATTTGTTATTCTCTATGCTGATATGTCAGTTGAAGCGATATGGCGTCGTATAAGCTTACCCTCTTTGCAAACACCTGGTGTCATCACTAATTTTTAGTGATCCATCCATATAATTTCCCTGCTATTTTGCATTTTACGCCAAATGGAATCTTTTCGGAGGATAATCGGATTATCGAGACTGGTTATTCTTCGGCGTTGACGTAATATGTTTAGGTTAACATCTACGTTTTTCATCGTTTGTTGTCTTGAATTGTCAGTGAGCGAATTACACCATAACCTTCTCGAAACAAGGAAGGACGGACTATCTGTCCCTCCAAAAGAAGCGTGCAAGTCTTACACCAAAGGTTCACGGCCTACATATCCCTGGGACCGCCTCCGTGGTCTAATGGTAGAGCGTCCGCCCGGAGAGCGGAAGATCCTAGGTTCCATACCAAAAGACGTTTTAAGATTACATTAAGGGTCTCAAACAAGGACTGGTCGGCTTGGAATCTATACTGTGTCTGAATGGGGTATTTATGTTAAACTGCGGCATGGTATCTCAGTGGGCTGAGTCCGGACTATTCCAAGCACGCACACACACGCACGCACGCACGCACGCACGCATACACACACCTGCATGAACGTTGCTATATAAATCTAATAATCTTGGGCGCGACGCTAAACCCATTTTAACTCAACTTAGGAGCGATAGGGTGGCCTAGCGGTTAAAGCGTTCGCCAAAAGACCAAAGACCCGTGTTCAATTCCCGACATGGGTACAATGTGTGAAGCCCATATCTGGTGTCTCCCCCCCCCGTGATATTGCTGGAATATTGCTAAAAGCGGCGTAAAACCATACTCATTCACTCACTCAACTCACCTTACATATTCCTTGAGAGATAATACGTAGGTCCTCGTAACTCGTTGGCTATTCTCTAAATAATCATCAATACTTTGAAACTTTGTTGTTGTTTACATTTGGTATTTACTGTATTCCATAAATTTGAAATAATTCAGATCACCATGATGCTGTTTTTGTCTTATATTCTAGGATTGTTGATAAAGGAGGAAAAATGCAGAGACGAAAACTTTCTTCCCTGCAAGAAGTAAGAAACTTTGTACTTATTATTCCAACTTGACAAAGGCATTGTTTTATCAAAGGAACCTATATTGATGCATCAATATATTAGAGTTATGTCCCTCAATTGTCAGGATCTGCATTTCGTGGGAGTCCAAGATTTCCCCGGATTATGACCCTGGTCTTGCTCCACTACCCGTGGCTTTACCTTCGTATACCTGTAATATAACCACCTTATTAGCTTTGACACCCTGTGTTATAATTGTAATACTTCTACCCCACTAACTTTAACACCCCGTGTTATAATTGTAATATTTCTACCCAATAACTTTGACACCCTGTGTTATATTTATAACTGTTATATTTCTACCCCACTAACTTTGACACGCTATGTCATAACTGTAATATTTCTACCCCACTAACTTTGACACCCTGTGTTATAACTGTAATATTTCTACCCCACTAACTTTGACACCCTGTGTTATACCTGTAATATTTCTACCCCACTAACTTTGACACCCTGTGTTATAACTGTAATATTTCTACCCCACTAACTTTGACACCCTGTGTTATAACTGTAATATTCTTCCCGCCTAACTTTGACACGCTATGTTATAACTATAATATTTCTACCCCACTAAATTTGATATCCTGTGTTATAACTGTAATATTTCTACCTCACTAACTTTGACACCGTGTGTTATAACTGTAATATTTCTACCCCGCTAACTTTGACACCCAGTGTTATAACTGTAATATTTCTACCTCACTAACTTTGACAAGCTATGTTATAACTGTAATATTTCTACCCCACTAACTTTGACACCCTGTGTTATAACTGTAATATTTCTACCCCACTAACTTTGACAAGCTATGTTATAACTGTAATATTTCTACCTCCCCAACTTTGACACCCTGTGTTATAACTGTAATATTCTTCCCGCCTAACTTTGACACGCTATGTTACAACTATAATATTTCTACCCCACTAAATTTGATATCCTGTGTTATAACTGTAATATTTCTACCTCACTAACTTTGACACGCTATGTTATAACTATAATATTTCTACATCACTAACTTTGACACGCTATGTTATAACCGTAATATTTCTACATCACTAACTTTGACACCGTGTGTTGTAACTGTAATATTTCTACCCCACTAACTTTGACACCCTGTATTATAACTGTAATATTTCTACCTCACTAACTTTGACACCCTGTGTTATAACTGTAATATTTCTACCACACTAACTTTGACACAGTATTATAATTGTAAAACGACTTCATTCACCGAGTGATACGCTGTGCATACATATGGTCGACCGTTGTGGGTCACGTTCAACTATAAATGAGAATATATGCCACAAATAGGATAAATTGCATTGTAATATGTGTATGAGATTTCTGAAATATCACATTGGCGGCAAATTGATTCAGAAATACAGATGCATTTGACACGTACCACCGTAAATACCAGTATGTTAAGCTTGGACAGTTGAATGCTGGCGACATAAACCTCCAGTTTCAGGTGATATATGATACAGTCATACGAATAATTAATTCACCGTTACAGGATAGGCTGTACAGCCTGTACAGACCTTATACAGAATGACTTGCGCTTTTCCAATAGGTATGCACATAAGATGTACTGACTTTAATGTTTGCCGAGCAGACATTTACACCTGAACCCACATAACTTGACCTGCTACCCAGAAGCGGATCCAGGATTTTTATAATTGTAAAAAAATATGTGTATGTATGTGTGTATATATGTATGTATATGTGTGTATATGTGTGTGTGTATGTGTGTATGTGTGTATATGTATGAGTATGTGTGTATATGTGTATGTATGTGTGTATATGTGTGTGAGAGTATATGTGTGTATATGTGTGTGTGTGTGTGTGTGTGTGTGTGTGTGTGTGTGTGTGTGTGTGTGTGTGTGTGTGTGTGTGTGTGTGTGTGTGTGTGTGTGTGTGTGTGTGTGTGTGTGTGTGTGTTCTACTCTATTCCGATAGCCCACATATTTCGGTGACTGTGTGTGTAGCACTGATAAATTCTCAACCTCTAGTGCCCCAGCCGGATGCATGGAGTGTTCCGTGACTTCGTGACTGAATCTCTGTACGTGACAGAGATGGTAGTTGCAGCTGACAACCGAATGGGACAGTACATGACCCCACGCAGTGAAATGTGATCAGTGTGTTGCTGTGTGATCAAAGTGTTGCTGTATGATCAAAGTGTTGCTGTGTGATCAATGTGTTACTGTATGATCAAAGTGTTGCTGTATGATCAAAGTGTTGCTGTGTGATCAAAGTGTTGCTGTGTGATCAATATGTTGCTGTGTGATCAAAGTGTTGCTGTATGATCAAAGTGTTGCTGTCTGTTCAAAGTGTTGATGTATGATCAAAGTGTTGTTGCATGATCAACGTGTTGCTGTGTGATCAAAGTGATCACAATTTCTCGCTGCATGTTTTGAATAAACATATCACTTACATAAGTAAATAACACTGGCATCACATCCAACTAGTAAAACATACATCACGATACACTGTCGCATGTTTGGTTAGATATACTGTACAACTATATTGATTTAACTGTAAAGTACATATTGTAAGTAACTGTAGGAATACATGAATAATTACTACAGTTACATGATACACGGGATATATCATACACGTTATGCATGTGTTATAATCTTACACTCCAGATTGGCAAAACTCCACTTTTTTTGCCTGTGACACATGTGCAAGTGGATAAATAAACATATATTCAAGCGAACTGTGAGTTAATCTACAGCTAAAAATAACAACTGGGGTTACTGACAACTGCGATATCTGACAACTGGCGTACCTGACAACTGCGATATCTGACAACTGTGATATCTGAAAGCTGCGATATCAGACACCTGCAGTATCTGACAATTGGGGTATCTGACAATTAGGGTATCTGACAACTGATGTTTATGACAACTGGGGTACCTGACAACCAAGAAACCATTCATCTATTCCTATATGTGTTCAGTTTGTTGCTGTGCCTTCAATGTGTTGCTATGTCTTCAGTGTGTCGCTATGTCTTCAATGTGTCGCTATGTCTTCAATGTGTTGCTGTCTTCAATGTGTCGCTTTGTCTTCAATGTGTTTGCTATGTCTTCAATGTGTCGCTTTGTCTTCAGAGAGTCGCTATGTCTTCAATGCGTGGCTGTGTCTTCAATGTGACGCTGTGTCTTCAGTGTGTCACTATGCCTTCAATGTGTCGCTATGTCTTCAATGTGTCGCTATGTCTTCAATGTGTCGCTGTGTCTTCAATGTGTCGCTGTGTCTTCAGTGTGTCGCTATGTCTTCAGTGTGTTGCTATGTCTTCAATGTGTCGCTATGTCTTCAGTGTGTCGCAATGTCTTCAATGTGTCGCTATGTCTTCAATGTGTCGCTATGTCTTCAATGAGTCGCTATGTCTTCCATGTGTCCCTATGTCTTCAGTGTGTCGCTGTCTTCAATGTGTCGCTATGTCTTCAATGTGACGCTGTGTCTTCAGTGTGTCGCTATGTCCTAATGTGTCGCTATGTCTTCAATGTGTCGCTATGTCTTCAATGTGTCACTATGTCTTCAATGTGTCGCTTTTTCTTCAATGTGTTGCTTTGTCTTCAATGCGTCGCTGTGTCTTCAATGTGTTTGCTATGTCTTCAATGTGTCGCTTTGTCTTCAGAGAGTCGCTATGTCTTCAATGCGTCGCTGTGTCTTCAATGTGACGCTGTGTCTTCAGTGTGTCGCTATGCCTTCAATGTGTCGCTCTGTCTTCAATGTGTTGCAGTGTCTTCAATGTGTCGCTATGTCTTCAATGTGTCGCTATGTCTTCAGTGTGTCGCTATGTCTTCAATGTGTCGCTGTGTCTTCAATGCGTCGCTATGTCTTCAATGTGTCGCTGTGTCTTCAGTGTGTCGCTATGTCTTCAGTGTGTTGCTATGTCTTCAATGTGTCGCTATATCTTCAGTGTGTCGCAATGTCTTCAATGTGTCGCTATGTCTTCAATGTGTCGCTATGTCTGCAATGAGTCGCTATGTCTTCCATGTGTCCCTATGTCTTCAGTGTGTCGCTGTCTTCAATGTGTCGCTGTCTTCAATGTGTCGCTATGTCTTCAATGTGACGCTGTGTCTTCAGTGTGTCGCTATGTCCTAATGTGTCGCTATGTCTTCAATGTGTCACTATGTCTTCAATGTGTCGCTATGTCTTCAATGTGTCGCTTTTTCTTCAATGTGTTGCTTTGTCTTCAATGCGTCGCTGTGTCTTCAATGTGTTTGCTATGTATTCAATGTGTCGCTTTGTCTTCAGAGAGTCGCTATGTCTTCAATGCGTCGCTGTGTCTTCAATGTGACGCTGTGTCTTCAGTGTGTCGCTATGCCTTCAATGTGTCGCTCTGTCTTCAATGTGTCGCAGTGTCTTCAATGTGTTGCTATGTCTTCAATGTGTCGCTATGTCTTCAGTGTGTCGCTATGTCTTCAATGCGTCGCTGTGTCTTCAATGTGTCGCTGTGTCTTCAGTGTGTCGCTATTTCTTCAGTGTGTTGCTATGTCTTCAATGTGTCGCTATGTCTTCAGTGTGTCGCAGCGTCTTCAATGTGTCGCTATGTCTTCAATGTGTCGCTGGGTCTTCAGTGTGTCGCTATGTCTTCAATGTGTCGCTATGTCTTCAATGTGTCGCTATGTCTTCAATGTGTCGCTTTGTCTTCAATGTGTTGCTTTGTCTTCAATGTGTCGCTATGTCTTCAGTGTGTCGCTGTGTCTCCAATGCGTCGCAGTGTCTTCAATGTGACGCTGTATCTTCAGTGTGTCGCTATGTCTTCAGTGTGTTGCTATGTCTTCCACGTGTCGCTATGTCTTCAATGTGTCGCTATGTTTTCAGTGTGTCGCTATGTCTTCAGTGTGTCGCTATGTTTTCAATGTGTCGCTGTGTCCTCAATGCGTCGCTGTGTCTTCAATGTGACGCTGTGTCTTCAATGTGTCACTATGTCTTCAATGTGTCGCTATGTCTTCAGTGTGTCGCTATGTCTTCATTGTGTTGCCATGTCTTTAATGTGTTGCTATGTCTTCATTGTGTCGCTGTGTCCTCAATGCGACGCTGTGTCTTCAATGTGTCACTATGTCTTCAATGTGTCGCTATGTCTTCAGTGTGTCGCTATGTCTTCCACGTGACGCTATGTCTTCAATGTGTCGCTATGTCTTCAATGTGTCGCTATGTCTTCAGTGTGTCGCTATGTCTTCAGTGTGTCGCTATGTCTTCAGTGTGTCGCTGTGTCTTCAATGTGACGCTGTGTCTTCAATGTGTCACTATGTCTTCAATGTGTCGCTATGTCTTCAGTGTGTCACTATGTCTTCATTGTGTCGCCATGTCTTCAATGTGTTGCTATGTCTTCAATGTGTCGCTATGTCTTCAATGTGTCACAATGTCTTCAATGTGTCGCTATGTCTTCAATGTGTCGCTAGGTCTTCAATGTGTCACTATGTCTTCAATGTGTCGCTATGTCTTCAATGTGTCGCTATGTCTTCAATGTGTCACTATGTCTTCAATGTGTCGCTATGTCTTCAATGTGTCGCTATGTCTTCAGTGTGTCGCTATGTCTTCAGTGTGTCGCTATGTCTTCAATGTGTCGCTATGTCTTCAGTGTGTCGCTGTGTCTTCAATGTGACGCTGTGTCTTCATTGTGTCGCCATGTCTTCAATGTGTTGCTATGTCTTCAATGTGTCGCTATGTCTTCAATGTGTCACAATGTCTTCAATGTGTCGCTATGTCTTCAATGTGTCGCTAGGTCTTCAATGTGTCACTATGTCTTCAATGTGTCGCTATGTCTTCAATGTGTCGCTTTGTCTTCAATGTGTCACTATGTCTTCAATGTGTCGCTATGTCTTCAATGTGTCGCTAGGTCTTCAATGTGTCACTATGTCTTCAATGTGTTGCTGTCTTCAATGTGTCGCTATGTCTTCAATGTGTGGCCATGTCTTCAATGTGTTACAATGCATTCAATATATGTCGAGTTGTGTTGTATATTTCAGTTGTGTGGGGTCTGTGACGTCGTGATTAATTGCTGTGGTCTCGGTGCCAGGCAACTGGTTGGTGACACTAACATCCGGGCAGTCAGGGGCCAACTGGTGAAGGTTGTACATCTCGTGGTTCAGACATAATCCCATGCATATCTCACCTCTGTCTCCTGAATGAGTTGACATACTTGAAACAGGAGAATTTTTGAAACAGTGAATTATTTTCGTTTGTTGTCTGTTTGTGTCCTCGTTTATCTGACAGTATATGACATAAACATTATGAACCACATTTCTGTATCGTGTGACCTAGGAGTCTTTCAACAAACGCTTGTGTTGTGAAATCACAATAAGCTCTACGGTTGAAATCTTTCAGGACGTTGTCCATACCTTCAGCCCAGCTTAGGGGCGGTCGGGTGGCATAGTGGTTAAAGCGTTCGCTCGTCATGCCGAAGACCCCGGTTCGATTCCCGACATGGGTACAATGTGTGAAGCCCATTTCTGGTGTCCCCCGCCGTGATATTGCTGGAATATTGCTAAAAGCGGCGTAAAACCATACTCACTCACTAACTCAGCCCAGCTTGTACGGTCCAGGGGCCACTTGCACAAAGCGATGTTAGCGCTAAGTCTATCGTAAGCCTATGTTAGAGTATGGGAGTTACAATTATCTTAGCGCTAGGATAGCTTTGTGCAAATGGGCCCAGGTCCCAGGTCCATTCATGAAAGGCTGAAGTAATGTAGCTGCAATATTGCAGACTTGCATTAATACCACACTCACTCACTCACTAACTCAAAATGGGTCACGAGCGATGCACTACAGTTACAACTGATCGTGTCCCTTACCAGGTTCGAGCCCCCTGGGTCAACATGTTCTACACATCAGAGACGAGGGATGGAGTGAGCACGTACGTCTACCCACAGTGAGTATGCTACTGACACGTACTTCTACCTACAGTATGTTACTGACACGTACGTCTACCCATCATGAGTTTTACTGACACGTACGTCTAGCCCGTGTTACTGACACGTACGTCTACCCACAATGAGTTTTACTGACACATACGTCTACCCAATATGAGTTTTACTGACACGTACGTCTAGCCCGTGTTACTGACACGTACGTCTACTCACAATGTTACTGACACATACGTCTAACCCACGGTGTAACTCACACATACGTCTACCAACAGTGTTACTGACGCATACGTCTACTCACAGTGTTACTGACACATACGTCTACCCACAGTGTTACTGACACATACGTCTACCCACAGTGTTACTGACACGTACGTCTACTCACAGAATGTTACTGACACGTACGTCTACCCACAGTGTTACTGCAAAGAACGTCTACCCAAAGTGTTACTGGTGCGTACGTCTACCCACAGCGTTACTGACACGTACGTCTACCAACAGTGTTACTGATACATACGTCTACCCTCGGTGTTACTTACACGTACGTCTACCCACAGTGTTACTGACACATACGTCTACTCACAGTGTTACTGACACATACGTCTACCCACAGCGTTACTGACACATACGTCTACCCACAGCGTTACTGACACATACGTCTACCCACAGCGTTACTGACACATACGTCTACTCACAGAATGTTACTGACACATACGTCTACCAACAGTGTTACTGACACGTACGTCTACTCACAGAATGTTACTGACGCATACGTCTACCCACAGTGTTACTGACACATACGTCTACCCACAGCGTTACTGACACATACGTCTACCCACAGTGTTACTGACACATACGTCTACCCACAGTGTTACTGACACATACGTCTACCCACAGTGTTACTGACACGTACGTCTACCCACAGTGTTACTGACACATACGTCTACCCACAGAATGTTACTGACACATACGTCTACCCACAGTGTTACTGACACATACGTCTACCCACAGTGTTACTGACACGTACGTCTACCCACAGTGTTACTGACACATACGTCTACCCACAGCGTTACTGACACATACGTCTACCCACAGTGTTACTGACACATACGTCTACCCACAGTGTTACTTACACATACGTCTACCCACAGTGTTACTTACACATACGTCTACCCACAGTGTTACTGACACATACGTCTACCCACAGTGTTACTGACACATACGTCTACCCACAGTGTTACTGACACATACGTCTACCCACAGTGTTACTGACACATACGTCTACCCACAGTGTTACTGACACATACGTCTACCCACAGCATTACTGACACATACGTCTACCCACAGTGTTACTGACACATACGTCTACCCACAGCGTTACTGACACATACGTCTACCCACAGTGTTACTGACACAAACGTCTACCCACAGTGTTACTGACACGTACGTCTACCCACAGTGTTACTGACACATACGTCTACCCACAGTGTTACTGACACATACGTCTACCCACAGTGTTACTGACACATACGTCTACCCACAGAATGTTACTGACACATACGTCTACCCACAGTGTTACTGACACATACGTCTACCCACAGTGTTACTGACACATACGTCTACCCACAGTGTTACTGACACATACGTCTACCCACAGTGTTACTGACACATACGTCTACCCACAGTGTTACTGACACGTACGTCTACCCACAGTGTTACTGACACATACGTCTACTCACAGTGTTACTGACACATACGTCTACTCACAGAATGTTACTGACGCATACGTCTACCCACAGTGTTACTTACACGTACGTCTTCCCACAGTGTTACTGACACATACGTCTACCCACAGTGTTACTGACACATACGTCTACCCACAGTGTTACTGACACATACGTCTACCCACAGTGTTACTGACACATACGTCTACCCACAGTGTTACTGACACATACGTCTGTAAAAAATGGAGTCTGGACCAGACATTCCAGTCAGTGCCTTTTACGACAAGCATAGTCGACTTTTATGGCAAGCATGGGTTCTGAAGACCTATTCTACCCAGGATCGTCACGGGTAGGTTAATTATTTAGGGACTGGTCATTTATTACAGGGAGGGGAGTTATGAAAACGTGTTACATGTACTTTGGGGGCCATGAAAACATGCTACGAAAAATGATATAAGTGTCGGCGAAATGTATGATACAGGCCTAAGCTGTTATTCTTTTGCTGTTGCGTGTAGTGAATGTGGCGAGTCATCCTCCCGTGGTAAAAGAAAGATAACTCTTTATTTACTTCCTGTAGGACACCCCCTAAAATATGATTGCAGCTCTAATATCGTTAACCTTGGCGGGAGCAGACAAGTTGGAAACACGAGTCTAGAACCAGATCTCCATCTTGCCGAAGACATCATTAGGCGAACTAAACAACTCGTACCTGCCTTGCAGGTAAGCGATTAGACATTGAAGGGAGGCAACTCTGTAACTACTATTGACACATTCTAAATCCGTTTTTGTGGAAGCCTCAGTGGCTGAGTGGGTGAGGTCAACTGTATGTGCTGGCGATTAAGTGCCTAACTCTCAAAGTACTGATTCGAATCCCGGATGCGACTCCTACCATTAAATTACTAGACTTGCACTTTACTAAGCAAGTTTAAACCCCAAAGTAACGTGTGTCATATTTGACCACATTTGTATAGGGATTGTATCTTCATTACTGAAGCGACTGTAACTGTCCCTGTTTGTACTGATACTACTGGTAGTAACTTTGTTCTGCCTCCAACCATCAGTGCTACTATATTACTACAATTAATTCTTAAATTGTCCACGCTGTTAATGTGGCAGTTTGGTATCAATTCTTCCATTGTTAACGACAATCTTTGATAAACATTTCATCAAATGCATTTTTTCGTATTTGTTTTCTAGTTCGCAAAAGGTTAATCTTTGTATAATTATGTAAGAGGTTCTTGTTTCAGGGTGCAACCGTCGTGGAGCACTGGGTTGGGCTTCGTCCCACACGGACTCCGATACGGATTGAACAGGAAGTACTGCATGGAAATGGTGCAGACATAATGGTACGTAGCTCACCTTCCTCGCTTGTCCATCCGATCAGGTCGCAAACAATTTCTTTTCTGATATATCACCTCCGAAACAAGGTGAGGTGAGGTGAAATTGGGTTAAACGTCGCGTCCAAGACTATTGCACTTATATAGCGACGTGCATGCACGTGTATGTGTGTGTGTGGCTGCTTGTACTAGTCCGGACTGATGCCGATTTATAGTGCTAGCTCACTGAGATACCATACCGCAGTTTAACATGAATACCCCACTCAGACACAGTATACTGACTCCGAGCCGACCAGTCCTTGTATTAGCCCCTTAATGCCGACCGCCAGACAGGGTAACAACAAGTACCATCTTTTAACGTCTTTTTGTATGACGCGGCCCGGGATCGAACCCTGGACCTTCCGCTCTCCGGGCGGACGCTCTACCACAAGACCACGGAGGCGGTCCCTCCGAAACAAGACGAGGGCCAGTTGCATAAATATTCAAGTTCTGCGTCTACATCACTAAGATTAAGATTATGTCCGTCCTAATATTTACCACTTCCACATTGCCGAACTTTGGGATTACACCACATGGTGTTACCATAATTTGGGCACCGCCTCCGTGGTCTAGTGGTAGAGCGTCCGCCAGGAGAGCGGAAGGTTAGGGGCTCGAACCCCGGCCGCGTCTTACAAAATGACGTTAAAAGATGGTACTTGTTGTTACCCTGTCTGGCGCTCGGCATTAACGGGCTAAAACAAGGACTGGTCGGCTCGGAGTCACTATACTGTGTCTGAGTGGGGTATTCATGTTAAACTGCGGCATGGTATCTCAGTGAGCTAGCACTATAAACCGGCATCAGTCCGGACTAGTACAAGCAGACACACATACACACACGTGCATGCACGTCGCTATATAAGTGCAATAATCTTGGACGCGACGTTAAACCCAATTTCACCTCACCCAACCTCATCGGGATTAACTACTATAATGCCGTATGGAGGGATTAACCCATTGAAACGTTCCATTGAGAAAAGATTCATTCGTCCACTGATTTGCGATTCCGGGCAAGACAACTGTTAAATATCATACGATTGCAGGTGGTACATAACTACGGCCATGGTGCCCAGGGAATCACGCTGAGCTGGGGCACCGCCCTGGAGGCCACGGAGATCGTGAGAAGATGGGCACAGTCCCGCCGTCAGTCTAAACTCTGAACGAACAATCAATACAGTATATCGTTAACAACTTGCCAACATAATTATGTTCTTCTTTAATTCATGTTTTTGTTGACCATCAGCATACGTGTCTTTGACAAGTATTGATTTGCATTGAGTATATCCGTCGAGGCTTCTTGCACAGAAACATTGTCTCTACGCGCTCAGTGATTGAATTGTAAGGCTTAGAATTAATTAATAATAATACTTCTTGCATGCGTTGGTGGACTGTTTCAAACGCACCAGTACATCGCATTTGTTTTGTCGCTGTTTTTGCAACTATTGTGTCTGTGTTTCTGTGTGAATGTTGGGCAGTAGTATACATTTTTTGCATTTAAGGAATACCTATCATTTCAAAATTAAATAGTATTCATACATTTTGCAAATGTGAAACATTGGGTGCAGCTCGGTATACATATTTGTTCTTCAAGTAATCCTATGAGGAATGTTCTGAGATATACCATATACTGATAACTGTGAATGAATTGGATAAATGAACTGATAATTTCAACAAAACTACTTGCATTGACTTCAAGTGGAAACCAAACTTGTATCTTTCATATTTCAAGATATAATATTTGTATTTCAATACAAGCGACAAAACCCTTTCCTAATGCGCAACAAATAATCTGGTTTTTTTATGAATTAGGTGCCGATATTTGATATTCTAGGGGCGGGGGTAGGCCAGGGATTCTGTATTCAGGCCAGATTGTTTTTTAATAATGTGTTTGCTTTAGTTAAGACGATGAGCCAAACTACAAAATACATTTCAAACATGTATGATGCATAATTGTTATTTTCAATTTTTTTTTTCGATAAACGATCATACATACGGAGGCCAATAAAACAAAACAAACATGAAGCTGTTTTGTAGTGAAAATCCGTAAAAAATATTTTTTAATTAATATATTTTTCCTGACCATGGGATTTTGTAATACCGTGTAGTCTCTGCCATGACCACTGAAAAACAACATTTCTTTCCATGACACCTGACAAACATCTTGAAATTGTCCGCCTTTTTGCAATTATTTTGCATAATCATACCTTGATAAGGTCTCGGTTCAAGGCATACATGAACCACCAGCGTGCACCCTGACATTCTCTATTTCATGTTGTATTTACTCTTTGTTTCATCTACGTCATATCCATGTTATATATCACATATCTGTTGAAGGATATTTTATTTATTTAAGTTAACGGAGACCGGTGTTAACTGGCATTGGATATATATCAAGATACACCCAATCCTCGAGGATTTGGAGGATATTTATATCATAATTGTGTATGCAATAAACGTTTAATATATATATTACATTATCTTCGTGTAATATTTGCCGGATTATATATCTGCAACATTGCTGGTACGGTGCTTGGAATTCATTCTCCCCCATGATCGATATGTTTGTATTGTCTTCAGCAACCGGGGGCACAGGTGGCCCGGTCATCTAAGGCGCCGCGATTCGCTGTGCAGAGTTGCGTCCCTTGGGCACTCCAGGCTTTCCTCCCACATTAAGCTGACACGCCGCGATATAACTGGAATACTGTTAAAAGCGGCGTTAAACCAAACTCACTCACTCACTCACTCTTCAGCAACCCATGCTTGACGTAAAAGGAGACTATGCCTGTCGTAAGAGGTGACTAACGGGATCGGGTGATCAGGCTCGTCATCGTATCCCAGGTGCGTGGATCGATGCTCATGATGTCAGTTACTGGATTGTCTGGTCCAGACTCGATTATTTACAGAATGCCGTCATATAGCTAGAATATTGCTGAGTGCCACGTTAAACAACAAACAAAGAAACATGTTGGTATTACACGTTATTTAACCGTTATGATAACGTTACACTATTGTTGTTGCAGTTGATTCTGAGCCGGGAATTCACAAACTACTCTCAACGTGCATTTTTAACATATAACTTTGAAGTTTGTAATGCTTGTATTTTAAGTACAGTAAAGTACGGTTATAACGAACTCAAAGGAACTACTAATTTTAGTTCGTTATAACCGTAGTTGGTTATAAGCATATATACAGTATAACAACAACATATAATTGGGACCAAAAACGTAAGTTCGTTATATCCGTCAGTTCGTTATAAGCGTGTTCGTTATAACCGTAGTTTACTGTAGATGTTTTTCCATCTTCACTGTATGTGGTACGAACATGTATAGATGCATTCTCAAGTCACAAGTACATGATAACGTTTCGAAAAGTTCATACAGATTCAACAAAATAGAGTTTTCTGTTTGGAGATTATCTAATAATCTAAAATATTAACAGAACTCTTGAGTTCCAGATTGTCCCAAACACCATTTCAAGTTTGGAACCATACTTTAGATATATATATGTTGTCTGTATGTCGCAAAACTTGCTAGAAAGGAGAAATATTCCTTTTCTTTTTTCAAATGTATCTTTATTGATAAATATTTGAGCAAAATAAACATCAACAGCTTTATTTAGTGCTGAGCAAAATAAGCTTTGTGGATTGTCCTGTGATTTCACATCAAAAGGATTATGGTATAATGTTATACTGCTTATTATCTTAGCGCCATTCCAGCAAACAGTATCAAACAAATGTCATTATCTTAGCACCATTCTAGGAACCAGTTACAACTAAATGTCATTAGCTTAATACAATTCAGGAACCGGTTACATTTAAATGTCATTATATTAGCACCATTCTAGGAACCAGTTACAACTAAATGTCAATATCTTACCCATCATTTCAGGAACCAGTTACAACTGAATGTCATTATCTTAGCACCATTCTAGGAACCAGTTACAACTTAATGTCAATATTTTAGCACCATCTAGGAACGAGTTACAACTTAATGTCAATATTTTAGCACCATTCTAGGAACCAGTTACAACTTAATGTCAATATTTTAGCACCATTCTAGGAACCAGTTACAACTAAATGTCATTACCTTAGCACAATTCCAGGAACCAGTTACAACTAAATTTCATTTTCTCAGCACCATTCCCTGGACTGACTATAGCTAAATGTCTTTAGCATAGCACAATTCCAGGAACCAGTTACCTCTAACAGGCACATTGTGAACGGATGGAGAAGGGCTCAGTGAAGGAAGTTTTATGTGTCAAAGGTCATCTGTACAGGTCATCTGTAATCTGTACATCATCCATACCAACGTCTGTTGATGAGGAGGGAGAAGGATAATGTACATGCAGAAGATTGATTCTCAGATGCTCTGGACGGTGGTTTGTCTGACAATCCAATCTTTTTTTTAAATTTGGAATAACTGGTGTCGCTTAAAAACACCCTGGCAATCCACAGTAGTGTTGGATGTCAATGACATCAAGACATATCCTGGACGATGTTGCTGACAGTCATGGTATATCCTAATACTGAATACTGAAGGAGCAAACACATATATGAGAAATGTGTTAACAGAATCTGCACTTGATACTGAATCCTCAAGTGACAAGTCAGCGAAAGAAAGGGATGGATAAGCTACCCCGGAACAAGATAAAAAACACAACAAAACACCGATGTCTTTTAGTTGATCTGGAGAAATACTGGTGAAAGTCATATTGAAATGAAGAAGCTTCCTACAAAACTTGATGATTTCAAAATATTAATTTATTAACAAGAGACAGTTTTCCAATCTCGATATTTGTAAGACTGATTTCAACCGCTGAAAAAGTGTTCATCAGAAAGATCAAGGATTTTGTGTCACAAATTAAGAACAGATTGGATGATATTATGAAAATACCTGCACGTTTTGGTCACATTTTGAAGAAGTCACGGACTGATACGAAGGACAGAATACGAACAATTAATTATGAAGGAAAACCGTGCACTCTGAAAAAATACTGATGTATCAGTTTGTGCTTGAAGCCCTGTTCTAAGTACCATATCTCCAAAAGAAAATCATAGTGGTGTTTCACAACCATACTGTTCTATCTCCAAAACGAACATGAAGGTGTCTGTATTCAGAGAGAAATGCTCAATTCCAACAAGAAATAACTGAATACTTTCCTCATTTGACTATTTAACAATTGTACATTTTAAGTGAATGAAGAGTAATATCGTTGCAAACTATCAAAATAAACTGACATTTTGCATCACTTATTATCCATCTTTTCAATTGGAAAATGTTCTATCTCCCGATCACGTGATAAAAGGAATTATTTTCATTTGATACGCAATTGGAACAACCTGGAACTTAGATTTAGTTTTAGATTTGGAGATAACACAATGCTGTTAGGATTAAATCTCATTTCTCTTCACAATAATGACTTGAAACTTCATCAGGACATAGAACAAAGTCTCCTGAGTGATTCAAGAACTTTAACTCAATTGTGACCAAAAGTGGAGATAGAACAAGCTGGGTCCCAGGGCACGAAGTAAAACTGACGCAACTCTGCTTTGCTAAATTATAGAGAAAAAGTATATCCCAGAGGAAATAGTAACCTTGCTTTATATGAAGTGGTGTAAATGCTATGTGACTGAAAATAACAACACTATCAATGTTTTATGATCACAATTTCATTGACAAAACCCATACCTTGTAACAGGACACCCACACTGAAGAAAGGGTTGTGTACCAACTCAATTAACAATGTCAGTATCGGGTGTGACCCCCATTTGCGTGGATACAGGGGAGGCATCGGCGGCGCATTGAAGATACCAGATGATTGAAAACACCTGGCCATGATATGATGCTCCCCCGACCGGTTGCGTTCGGTTCTGCCACAAATTGGTCTCAATCCAGGAATTGTCCACGCTGTTAATGTGGCAGTTTGGTATCAATTCCATGTGCATTTATGGAATTGATACCAAACTGCCACATTAACAGCGTGGACAATTTTAGAATTAGTAATATTGCAGCACTGATGGAGGCAGAACAAAGTTACTACCAGTGGTATCAGTACAAACAGGGACAGTAACAGTCGCTTCAGTAATGACGAGACATTGCCTTTAAAAATGTGGTCAAATATGACACACGTTACTTTTGGGTTTAAACTTTCTTAGTAAAGTACAAGTCTGGTACTTAAATGGTAGGAGTCGCATCCGGGATTCGAATCAATACTCTGAGAGTTAGGCACTTAATCGCCAGCACATACAGTTGACCTCACCCACTCAGCCACTGAGGCTTCCACAAAAACGGATTTAGAATGTTTCAATAGTAGCAACAGAGTTGCCTCCCTTCCATGTCTAATCGCTTCTGCTACCATCACATCAAAGTAGATCTATCCCGTTCTACCCCGTTCTATACAAAATACTAGAACGGGCTGTGATCACGGTAGAAAGCGTAGTTAAAAATAAATTACGATGCTCGTTTGTTCATAGGCAGTCATCAGTACATCTTTCTCGTTCTTAGCCAGTCTGCAGTCCGTTTGTATCCAGTTGAGATCGTGTAAAAGTGCCCGTTCACCTCATCCCGACAACGTTTCGTAGACGATCTCAACCCGTTCTTAACCAGTTCAACCTCGTTCTACCTAGTTCACAATACGTCCAAGCCAGTTCTAACTGATTCTTAACCCGACCAACTCGTTCGCAGTACGTCCTCATCTCGTCCCACGTGCGTGTGTATTCGCGTCCTGGCCCGTCCTGGCCCGACTCCTATGGATACCGAGCGCGTTGTAGCCAGTCTCCATTCAAATTCAGGGCTCCGAGCTGTACACATCATGCCTCCAAAGAGAAGTCGACCCGGTCGGTGTGCACACGTACTGCAATTTATGTTGGACTGCACCACGTCGTAACACGTCCCTAGTAGGTTCGAAGTACGGCAATTCCGTTCGTAATACGTCTTTCTCGTTTTAAGTAATTGCAGAACGGGATGGACGCAGTTTTGTGGGGGGCAGACTCAAAGTTCTAGAGCACCCTCCTCCTGAGAACTAGTTTGGTGTGATGGGGGTATTAACTGCAAGGCAGGTACGAGTTGTTTAGTTCGCCTGATGATGTCCTCGGGAAGATGGAGATCTGGTTCTAGACTCGTGTTTCCAACTTGTCTGCTCCCGCCAAGGTTAACGATATTAGAGCTGCAATCATATTTTAGGGGGTGTCCTACAGGAAGTAAATAATGGGTTATCTCTCTTTTACCACGGGAGGATGACTCGCCACATTCACTACACGCAACAGCAAAAGAATAACAGCTTAGGCCTGTATCATACATTTCGCCGACACTTATTCCATTTTTCGTAACATGTTTTCATGGCCCCGAAGTACATGTAACACGTTTATAACTCCCCTCCCTGTAATCAATGACCAGTCCCTAAATAATGGACCTACCCGTGAAGATCCGGGGTAGAATAGGTCTTCAGCAACCCATGCTTGCCATAAAAGGCGACT